TGAAATCTATTTTAAAATCCCACCATACCCTATGTTTGACGCATCAGTCTTGACAATAATAGATGAAAGAGGGTCAATAATTGATAAACATGGAATAATTTTGATAGCTATTTTGACTTTTTGAACGGCTATAAGTATGTACTAGGGTCCGTGGTAATGGAGTTTTTGGCAATCTATGAAAAGGTACAGCACGTAGATGCCGGATATTTTTGACAAAATCGGCAACCTAAAAAGCACTGTAGACTTGACTTATCTAAAATTTTCATTAGGAAATTATTATGTGAAATCTAAACTTCTTTGAAAAAGTGTAATAGTTTCCAAATGAATAAAATGAGCTACGAATCGAATGCGTGTTTGACAAAGAACAATTTTCTTAACTGAGACAGCTAAACCATTATTCTTAATAACATGAATAAATATTTTGAGATACTTGAAATGTTGTTTTAAGCTTTTTGAATAAATTAGAACATCGTCAAAGTAAAAAAGGATAAAATTCTGAAAATGATTGAAGATATCATTCATAATTTTTTAAAATTCGGAATGAGCATTTTTTAGATTGAATGTCATTACATTCCACTCATATTGTCTAAAAGGGACATTGAAAGCAATTTTGTATTATCTTTTTCTTTGATTTGAATATGCCAAAAGCCATATTTCATGTCAAATTTTGAGAATATAACAGTTTTGAGTAATCTGTTTAGCAAATCTTTATTTTGAGGTAATGATATTGAATACATCAAAGAGCTTCATTGTGAGGCTTATAATTGATAACGAGTCTAGGAACGCTTCGTTCAATTTTCTCAGAATTATTGACATAGAGGCTGAACACCTGCGACAAAATTTACTTGGACGGATTAATCCCTTTTCTAGTAAATCATTAATTTCTTTGATACAAAAATCAAGTAACTCCTTATTCATTTGATTCAGGAAATCCCATTTCATACGGAAGTGAAACAATATGCTTTTTTCTATTTTAGAAAGCATTAGGAATGGTAGAACATATATCATTTTAAATTTGTTTTTGAAAAAAATGAATTTTTTTCTTTTATTGAAGAGTTTTGTAATTGTTCTTCAATTCTTTGAAACTTAATTTCATTTTTTTTTTTTTGAGAAATTGAATATGTTTTTTTTTCTTAAAATTGATATTGTTTATAATTTTTGAAATTGATGCTTCTTTTAAAGAATTAACATCTTTATAATAATGATTATTTGTAAATTTGAAAATTATTTCTTGATCCAAAATATTTGTAGTAAGCCCTGTTGAATCAACTTGAAAATTATAAATTTGAACAATAAAGAGAGTACCAAGTATAACTTCTTGCTCTAAGTTTTTGACTAAGTAAAAAATATTTTTAAAACAAATATTTGAATAACAAATATGAGTTTTTGAAAGTTTATATTGAATATTGAGTTTTTTTGACACTAGCACCATAAAGACGCTAAGTGGTTTTTTCAAAATATTTTTCATGAGCTTTTGAAAGTTTGTATTGGATATTGAATTTTTTTACCACTAATACTATAAAGACGTTCAATATTTTTTTTCAAAATATTTTGTAGGGATAAGTCATTTCCTAATACAATTTTGATCAGCTCTGAAATCAATTAAAATTCGGGAGGTAAACCTGAAATCTTTATTGACTACAATAGTCATATTGTAATAACATTTTTGAAGTTGAATGCGATTAATAACATTAATTTTTTCGTCATCCGTTTGAATATTATCATAGATTTTGGTGAAAAAGTTTCTTCCTAGGAAGAGGAAGAGTCATTATTCTCTTGTTCCATAGTTTTGGTTTTCAAGAGAATGACTTCTATACGAATATCTTTCATATGACGTTCAAGGATTGAAATTTGAGATTTCATATCATTGATTTCTGAAAGTAATTCAGAACTAGAAGATTTTGAAAATGATGATACGGTATTGAACCTATTTAATATATTTTTTCATATTAAACGGTACAACTGCAGGATTTGAAGTAGATGGTAAAAGATTTGAGAACTTATTTAATTGAGGATCTTCGATCCTTTCAACTATATTTTGAATAAGTTCTTCTCGAGTAAGAACTTTTATGATTTTGCAACCACAAATCTTGTGACCTTGACTTGAAGTGGAAGAGGAATTTGAACTAATTTCAACATCAGAATCTTCTTGATGTTGAAAAACTTGTTTAAACTCAGAATCATCTAATTCTTCATCAGAACTAGACTTGAGTAAATTGAGAAGTTCAAGTTTAATTTCTTCATCGATTTGAAGATTATTAATCTTTTCAAGTTTAATTTCTTCATCGATTTGAAGAATATTAATCTTTCCCTTCATTGGACATTTATTTTAATATTGACCAATTTGATTACATTTCCAACAGGTCATGTTTGAAGTTTTAGGAATTTGTTTCTTAAAAGATTTTCGTTTTGAATATCTGGGTTTTGAATTTTTGGAGGATAATTTTGAAAATATTTCTGAAAAGATTTTTGCTTTTGAAAAGAACATTTTCTTAAATAAGAAGGAAATTTTTTCTTTTTTAATCTTGAAGAAGGATGAATGACTTTCTCAAATCATATTGATCACATAATGATCCAAGTTCCTTGCAACTCTCAAATCTCTCTTATTTCAATTTTGTTTTGATTTTAAGATCATTACATAATACTAACCCTTCTTTATTGACAAAATTAATAATTTCGCAATAAGGAGAACACATGTATCTTAATGTTGCAATTTGATAGAATTCTGAACTTATTCTGCAAAGAGCTTAGGAAATCCATAAATAAATCATTTTTTCCAAAAAAATTGATTGCAATCTTCTTGGTAAAGTACTCTGGTAAGGAACATATCATTATACCAATGAAAATCATGTCGTACCATCAATGTTCCATTAGACGATTTCATCAACTGTAGATGAAATTTGAGGTTTCTTCTTTTCCTCATATAGCATATTAGGATAAGAATGACGAGAATAATAATTTGGAAGTTTTGAATTTTGTCCTTTCAATTTATTGATTTGAGAAGGTTCATTCTCAATAAATTGAGCTTCAAGTTCTTCGAGAATATCAATATTATTCTTAGAAGTTTCGAATTTAGAAATTTGAAAAGCAAGTTCTCGTAAAATACTTGAATAAGAAGATAAATAATTTTTAATTTTGGAGTAATTTCCGTATCAATAGGTTTGAAAATAGTATCCGAATTTTTTCCATCCTTTTTAGATTTCTCACCTGTTTTGGATGAAGAACTTTCAAATTCAGAATTGGCTTCAATTACTAGAACTATTAGATTTCTCACCCGTTTGAAAGATTTTCAGTCTATTATTAGAACTATCAGATCTCCTAAACCAATTAGAAATTAAAGATATAATTTGAATAAAATGAAATTATAATAACATACCAATGTAGACACAATGTGTTTGAAATAGACCGAATCCAACCCAACCTACAACGGGACCACCAACGCTCTCTCTCAGCTTAACGAGCTGACCAACATTTCAGCAGGTTTCAAGGTAACCAGTTTCTCCTTTGACACTGTACTAAAAATTGTACAATATATTTATTTAATTATTTATTTCAAATGCAACAAGAAGACACACACACACACATATATATATTATTTTTTCAATTGCAACAAGAAGTCCTCGAGGGATCTCACATTCCGAGAAAAGCAAGTTAATCCATCCAGCCATCAGATAGTTTTATGAGAACCCAAGGACCATTTAACGAGAGGCCTTATAGGATTTGACAAGTAAACGGAAATACATTACTTGCATATCATTTGATTTCACCAAAGGTTGATTCACCTCTAGACTTTATACATACAATTTCGTGAATGTTTGATAAAGGTTTTCGTAGGTTACAAACTCCGATTCCAAGAAATGTGTGGATAAAAAATATATAAAAATTAGAAGTTGTGGGTTTTACGAATGTTTAAATAAATGACGTTTGATTAATATGTTCAAGTGCTTGTTTGATTACGCTTAAAATTTTAATTATGAGTAAATCAGTAAAACTGTATGTATCATAATCTACTAGAAACTTTATATAATCTACGAAAAACTTTAACTATATTGAAAAATCAATTAGATAGAATTAAAAAGTAGAATTTATAAATGATTTAATTTATGAATAAATAAAAATAAATGATGAATAATTGAATAATATTTGTGAATATATTGAAATACTTAGTTAAAAATGTAATTTGATTAATTTATAAATTTGTTTAAATGTGGTTATATTCACACCACATTTTGATTATATTAAATGTAATTAACATTGATTTATTATCACACTTATATTCTTAATTTTTTTTGTCACATTCTTATTTTAATATTTTATCCTTAATCATGATTTCGTTCAAAAATATTTTTAAATATTTAATTTCATTTTTGTAATATTATTTATTTTGCTTATTTCAAAATACATTGGACGAATGGGTCTATTTATGTCGAAAGAAAATTTTGGAGAGAAATTATAATTAAGAACAATTTATATTAATTTAAGAATAAAAAACAATGAAAAAAACTTAAAACATAAATATAATAATATATAAAGATTATAAACATTTTATGCAATTAAAATATAATTTAGTTATTAAAAATTAAAATCGGCTGTTCATTTAATAAATTATTGACACGTCATCAATAATTAATATATCATCTCAAATTTATTCTTATTAATTTAAGAGAAATGTTATTCATCCCCACTGGGGATGCATCCCCACTGAAGATGAATAGCATTTTTTTTAATTTAATCGATCAAGTTGATGACGTGTCAATAATTCATTGGACAAAGAAGCAATTTAGACCGTTGATCCTTCCTCTTCATATGCGTAACTTTAACATTGCTAGAATAAGCGCATAAAAGTTCCCTCTCCAATTTCCTCCCAGAAAACCCTAATTTTGCTTGATTTGAATCCTTTCCATAAACAATACTGCTTGTATACAGATCCATTTGATCTATGCGCTTTTGATGTTAAGTCGATAATTTTTGAAAACAAAACAATAACAGATCTTGGATCGATGGCGAAAGAATTCAACGTGCCTCCAGTGATATTCCCCTCCGGTGGAAACCCTGCAGGTGGAGGCCCCCAGCAACGCCGCCTCCCTACAGCCCCCTTCCAACCCCCGCGATCCTCTAACGCTAGCATTCCATTCATGTCATTCGATGTCAATTCGGCTGCCGCATCCACTTCATTTTCGACTCCTCAATTCCCCTCCACAATTTCCGTCGGCGGCCCTACTGGATTCGAGGACGAGCCGCCGCTCCTCGAGGAGCTGGGCATCAATACTAAGCAAATTTACCAGAAAACGATTTCTATCCTCAATCCATTTAGAATCAATGCCCGTCTTCACGAAGATGCTGATCTCTCTGGGCCTTTCCTTTTCCTGATGGCATTCGGACTCTTCCAACTCCTTGCCGGAAAGCTCCATTTCGGGATACTCCTCGGCTGGGTTACTGTGGCATCGCTGTTTCTATACATTGTTTTCAATATGTTAGCGGGCAAGAATGGGAATCTCGAATTGTACAGGTGTGTTAGCCTGATCGGATACTGTATCTTGCCGATTGTGATACTGTCGGCTGTGTCGTTGTTTGTGCCACAGGGCGGGGTGGTGATCATGGTGTTGATGGGGCTGTTCGTGATATGGTCTACCCGTGTTTGCGCATGCCTACTTGTTGAGCTGGCATCCTATGGGGACGAGCACCGAGGCCTTATCGCGTATGCTTGCTTCTTAATTTACATGCTTTTCTCTCTGCTCGTGATTTTCTGATAGAATCACTATTATCAAATTGTTGCATCTTGTCAAATTATTAGTCTCTGCTAGGGTATTGCTTGTTAGTATCCTAAGGCTTTAAGTGAATAGAAGCCAAATCACAGTAGTGTTGGACAATGAATCAAATTGTTTTTGACTGTCAAATGAGAATGTGGTAGATAATATGCTAGACCTCAGAGATTTCGAGTTTTGTACTTTTTAAGACTTGTTTTTTATATTCGTATCGTTATATTATATAACTAGTATGCTTCTTTTATATGATGGTCTCAAAATGATTAGAAATATCAGCCATCTTTAGCATCTGTAGGCATGGTGTATCAGATTCTTTATTAATTATTTATTTGAGAGCATTATGATTTTCTCCATGTAATAGCTTGCAGAATTTTCAGTGACAATGGATGCATGGCTTCTTTGTAGTCATTACCAGGATTTAAAAATCTACAGAAGGTTAAAAATATCTATTGAATACGATTTAGTTTTCTGTTTCGGATGATATGAAAGAAATTTTGGAAAGTTTTTACTTCCAAAGGATCTCTAAAGATTCTGAGAACCTGCGAAGGCCAACAATTAAAAATTACTCTTCCCCAAATCCAAAATGTTATGCTCCAGAAGCTTCTCTCCATAAAATCAGAATAATCTATGGGACACCGAGATTTTTCTAGTATTGTCATCGTTTAAAGAACTATGTGAAGTTTACGCCTTGAGTTTCACCTTGCATGAGACTTCCATAGAACACCACGCCTTGAGGCTAAGCCTTAGCGTGACTAAGGTTTTCACACATTTATCATGGTGCCTTCTCCTTGAATTTTATTTCTGCTATTAGAGGATGATGACAAAGAGTGAAAAAATTTGATACCAACAGGGACTATGATGCGGACATCATTGGATTATCGGAATTTACTTCATTATCATCAGGATTTACTTTTATTGTTATTGGACCTTATTTATTTATTTACATCTTCTAATTTTATTGTTCTTGGGCTTGTATTAGTGGGTAGCCCAAACTCGTCAATTACCTAAATTTTTGCTATTTAAACAGTTTTTCATTATAGTTTAGACAGTTGATGATTGAATAAAAATACAATTTGGCGGTTGCAACGTTTTGTTCCCCTTTCGCATTTCTTCTTCTCCTTCCTCCCCTTCTTCTTCTTTCTCATTCTACATCAAATTGGTATCAGAGCTAAAACCTGATTATCTTCCTCAACTGCCCAAACAATAATAATCGAGCACCAGTTTTGTCCTAAAATTTCAGCCGTCAACGAAAACCATACACCACAAAACCATCACCTGTCGACACACAACAACCAAACCAACAATCAACAACCCCCAAATTATTCACCAAAGCCGAACCCATAGCTGTTGCAACAAACCACAGAACCCACCCTCGCCCATACCTCTCGCAAGCCAACAACAACACAGCCGCCTCACCACCACCACGCAGCTTGCTCTTGCCGTCGACGAACCGCACCTACATAACCCGTCTGAAGTCCATCAGTCGCCGGCTCCTGCCTCCAATTAGAACCTCTATTTTGGCAGACACTAGCAGAAAAAGGATTTGCAGAGACGAGACGAGCCGAGCCTCATTTGGTGAATTTGATTTGGGTATTGATTTAGTAATTGTTGATAACAGGGCCTCAGTTTGACTCAGACTTGTTGGAGCGCTATCGGAGTCAGCAGGATTTTCCTTTGCCTAGTTCTTCTTCCACGTATCGAGGGGACATTGGTGGGGATACCAGATCCCGACCATCGCTGACATACTTTTATCGACGTCAGAGGACCCTCGTCCAGTCCCTAAGTTTATGGTTGGATGATTGATTGCAGCATTTTTACCTATCCACTCGATATGGTCGAGTTTTCTTCCACCCCGGGAGAGTTTATGCGGACATCATTGGATCCTCGGGATTTACTTCATCATCATCAGGATATACTTTTATTGTTATTGGACCTTATTTATTTATATCTTCTAATTTTATTGTTATTGGGCTTGTTTTAGTGGGTAGCCCAAACCCGTCAATTACCTAGGTTTTTGTTATTTAAACAGTTTTACATTACAGTTTAGACAATTGGTGATTGAATAAAAATACAATTTGGCGGTTGCCACGTTTTCTTCCCCTTTCACGTTTCTTCTTCTTCTTATTTTTCTTGTCGGCTTTTTCTCCTTCCTTCCCTTCTTTTTCTTTCCCATTCTACATCAGACTATCATTGGAGAATAAAAAGTGTGAGATGATTCCTTAAGAATCCTATCAGTGATGATAGTACAAGAGAATTCTTGTTTTCTTTCTTTTTAGCCAACTTCACGTTTGCCAGGTGGTAGGGGTTTTGCTAGTATCACTACAAGTATATTAATAATCATTGAAAGACAAAAGAGGGGAAAAAAAAAATGAAATCTTTCAGTTATTCCTCTAGAGATACATCAAGAGAAGAGAATGAAGTTTAAATTTAACTTGGAGGTACACTACCTTCATTACAAACAAGCAAAACAAACTTAAAACTTACATCTGACAAGGGATTTATAATTGTAAATTATCCAGATGTATCATTTCATCCAAACTTCCTCCGATGCAGTGACTTGACTGCGAGCTTGGTGCAAGCAAACTTGTAATTTTTGTGTGGTGTCCATCTAGCAGTATTTTATCACATCGTTACTAATTCGAGAAGTATTTATTTGTTAGTTTATTGTCTTAGTTTATGTTTGTTTGCAAGTTAAGACTTTATTTTGTTAATTCGTTCTATTATGGACATTTTAAGATGGTTTTAGTGTATTATGAACCTATCTTTTATTTTTATATTTTTCAAAATTATTTATTGGTTCGTGTTAACCCTTACTTCTAGAAACAACTGAGAGGCTTACGCCTCGCCTCATAGTGGTAAAATGTCTAGATGCCGGATTGAGGCCTTTTAGCCATTGAGTAGTTTACACTGTATGGCTATTCTTCGCCATTCTCATCATCCACTCAGCAATTTTCCAACCCCTATCAATCAACAATAATTTCTCACATTTGTACCTTGCATTTTAGGACGGGATAAAACTCTCGAGTCGAGCCGAACCGAATCGAGCCAAGCGATTCTTCTTAAGTTAAATATTCGAACGGGGTATTTGAATCGATGGGTTCGGTTCTCAATTCTAGGTCAAGAACCAAATAAGTACTAAATCTCCATAATTTTTTTAATTTTTTATTTTATATAAGTCAAATTATTTTATTTATTTTTAAATAAGTTTGTTAGTAAATTAATTTAGTTCAAACCCAAAATATGATTTTACTATTTCAAATTTGCAGCCAAATCTAACTTGATCAAATTGACCTAAGTTTTACTCAAATATTTTATTCTACCGTATGGTTGTTTCTGTCGTTCTATTATTATGAAATCGCCATCTTTTTTCCTGTGATTTTAATAGTCAAATACATGAAGAGCTCAATAAAGAAAGCTGCAAAAGATATCACGAGATTGGATTACGTTATTTTGTAAGAATTAAAATTGAACATGTTATAATCGAATTAATGTTGCGTTGTAATATAAAAAAATTAATTATTGTATGGAACCCGAAAACCAAATGGAACTTAACCCGAACGGTTCCATAATTAAATTTGGACCCGACCGTTTTATTTATTAAATACCCAAAAATCCGGGGCGAGAACCGAACCGAACCATGTTCAGACCTGTTCAATCATAAAAATTATTTGTTTTTCTGGGGATTGAGGGAATTACACCTATGCATGGGAACTTATGACACACTGATCGTTTCTTCTTTTAGAGTAGCAAGCGATTACTAACAAAATTATGAAAAGAAAGATTTTTTTATAAAAATGCATTTATATTTAAAGAGTGGATAATTATGAATCATGTTAATAAAATTACTCACTGAGATCCAAACACAAGAAATTGCTTAGAGCTAAACATGCTCTAAGCAAATGGAATATGATTTTGAAGGGTACTGAATCATGTCCAACAGTATATTCTTAACAATAATAATGCAAAATGAAATACAATTTAAGTTCTTCTTTACTTTGGCAATCCAGTTTCAGCATTAAGAAGTGCTTGAGTTTCATCAGTTAGCAATACCGGACCTCTCCCAGGTCTCGTGCAAATGAAGTAACTAACATCTCCCTTGTATTTCTGCGTCTGAATACTATCTTTAACCTCTGGAGGTGAAGCCAAAGCTTCAATGTCCTTCAAGCCATGAACCCCGGCATCTTGTAATATTGACTTGTCCCCGATAACGTAACTAGAGAAGAAGAGGCACAATAGGGAAGAACGTGTCAGGGAAATTAATGGACAAGGGGGAATTCCGTTTACCTAAGCTTAGAATAAGTAGAAGATTATCTTTCCAAACGTGTTTGAATACGTTACATTTTTTACTTATATGTAAAAATAAGTTACTTATTATGAAATTAACTCTTACTCAGTACCAATTTTCATCAACAAAAAGTTAAATGAAATACAAAGAAGTTAAATTTTAAAGCTTATCCAATCATGTTCTATGTCCATAAAATCAGTAAATTTGCATCATAAAAACTAAGGGACTGCAAAATCTACCTGTTCAAATCAGTATCAGATTGGGGAGGGAAATAAAAGAGTAGCCTCTGCAGGAGAAGCGTAGCAGCCTTTCTGTTACGTGCAATCAGAACTGCGTTTGGCCCAGCATCAAAAGTATAAGCTACCTGTTGAATAGCTTCCCAGTTATCAACATATTTTGATAGTACAAATCAATATATTACTGCAACTGCATTTGTCTTATCATCATATCACCACATTTTGTGAGAATCACATATAAGCATCGCTCATTTCTATCTATTTAAACACTTTCCAAACATGTTTTAATATAAGCAAAGCAAAGTAATAAAGAACCTGTGGTGTTCCTTCGAAGCGATTCCATTTCTCAACACAGCTGATTATCCTGAAAAGTAAACGTCCTCATAAAATCAAATTTACAATTTAAAACAATGCCACTTAAAAATGATGAAGGTCAGCCTTAAGCCACCCTCAAGGTAATTGAATTGAAATGGGAAATAGAGCTTGCCTGGGAGATGTGTCATTCATGTAGAATATCGATGGGGAGGTATCCAGGCAGACTGCATGAAACTGATTACTGTCTGAACAAGCCAGATGAGCAAAAGATGGAAAATCACGATTTTTATGGCTTCCTCCATCTGAATTATGCGTCTTGGTACTACTTCCTGTGACAGTTCAATACCTAAATGAGAAATGTGAGCATTCTAGGTCTCATCATCACAAAGACCAGAACTCAGGAGAAAAAAGGAATTTTGAAGGCCATCAAAATCATTGAGGAAGAACAAAGCAATTTTAAGGACAAGAAACTGTATTCACGAAGTATTAAGATACTAGGAGGACCATTACTTACCTTTGCTCTATGTTCTATAAGCATACTGGTTTCGACAGTCTCACGCATACCTGACGTGCTACTAGTTTCCTTTTGACGCGAACTAACCAGAAATCAGGAGAAATCATTTTAAATTATAGAGATTTTTATAGAATAATTAGAGTGGAAAACAAAGTATGAACATCTTATTTTATTTTTAATCTCAAAATGAAGAACCCCGTTTGCCTTTTCAAGTGTCTGATGCAGGCAAGCAGGAAGAAATTTATTTGTAGAGAGTGCTTGGAATTACTCTTCAGCTCAGAAAGCAAAATAACTCGGGGTAATTTACAAGAGTACAGGGTAAATTGATGAATCATACAATCTTCAGGTGGTCATCTAAATAAGTTCTTGAAGATAAGGAAGAGCATTAAAGTTGGGAGATTGTAATGAAATTCCAAAATGGTTTGGCAAACAAGATGAAATTGTCTCAAAGAGCAGTAGGCAATACCAGGAGGGGCAGAATGAAGAAAGGTGTGTGTCGTACAAGATCATCGAGTAAGAAATAAGCAGATTCCATTGTCAGATGGAAGTTGGCACAGAGTATTTAGACACGTTTAAGGATCAGAAGACTTTTCGGATAGTTCAGATGAGATTCTGGTCATTTTGATTGGGAAACCTCAGCACCCTGCTGTCATCGTTCCCAATGATGGGATGTTGAGCAAAATCCACTTGAATAGTTGAGAGTTGGTCTTTGAGGACAAGAATAGGAATAGCAACCCTGGCTTCTCAACTGGGAGCAAATAAAAGGGTTGGGCGAGTTTCTAGGTGTGCCTTTTGGCCAATTGGAGAACGTGTAATGGAATTACAGTAAGGCACTCAAAGAAGATGGAGGAAAGAGTGGAGACTGTCAGTGAGAATAAACGGTGAGGAGGCTACAATGGGAAGTACAAATGTGAAGTTGCTTAGTAAACTATGGTGGAAGAAGATAAATAGCGGAAGTGCTGGTATTGTAAAAAAAAAAAAAAAAGGTTTCTTTTGGTTTGAGTTTGGCCTGCACCCCTTTCTGGCAACATATCAACAAAAAAATGATTTATAAAAAATACTATGATAATATAGAAACCAATTTCTATCTCAAGTTAGTGTTTTGGTCATCAATACATACTACTGGTAAATGAGAAATTACAAAACCAAAAACTTCACCAAGAAAAATAGAATTGCACACAAAACAATGAAATAGACAGTTTCTTCGTACACAGTAGCAGTACTCGATGTTCCACAACACCCAAGAAGACAATATTGTTTGAACTAGAACATTATCAGGACTAATATTATGGTAAATTCAATGACAATAAAAATTCATGACCAACACAATTATTTGTCCGTTTTGGACCTTAATGTTAATTATCTAAAAACAAAGAAGCCAAATTGCTTACTACATACCACAGCAATAATAATAATAATAATAATAGAATAAAATTATTTGCAGTTGAAAGAGGGAACAATGAACATACTACGGCAATGATAATCACAAGATCGTCCCAGTGCTTCTCATCTGCAAGTTGAACAGCAATGCTGTCACTTCCATTTTCCTCCTGCAGGGATCAAGGAAAATGAATTTAGACACAACATTAAACGAAAGCATGCCATATGGAAAGCAATCTGCCAAGATGGAATTTAGAAACTGATCGTACTTTTCCCATGATCCACTTGACAAATCCACCATACAGGCTGCGACAAGCACTTCCTGAACCTTGCCTGGAAGTTAATACCCATACTATCATTATCTCTTGAACTATGAAAACGAGCTTTAGTCAGATTTAGTCAGCTTCTACGAAAATTCAATACAAAGCATTAAATCATAGTGGGGAGAAAAGACAGTAAGAGAGCGTGTAGACAATAAAATAATATTTGCCTACGTCCCATAAAACTAAACATATATGCTCAGAAATGATAGATGAATCCAGACTGGTTCCTTTTCATTTTCAACATTGAAAATAAGACAAGCATCTCCCCTGCAATGGACAAAAAACAAGTTTACACAAGGACAAGCATTTACCTTGCTATAGCAGAAAGTTAGCTGTGATCTTCTTTCACGTTCATTAACTTAGCAAGGGAAATAACTGTAAGGAGTGAAGTACAAAGATTAGGCGCTTTAATGAAACATTAGGTATCTAAAAACTTCAGAATGGAATCCAATTCAATAATTAGCTCATGGAAAAATGTATTCAATTACTATTTAATGATTAACATCACAACCAATCTGTCTTAGTCATTGTTTGATTCAGCAATAAATTACTAGCAAATAAATGACAATCTCTATTCCTTGCACTTCCCACTTAATGTCCAATCAAACAAATTTGTTACCCAACCTTATTTTGCTCTCACCAAGCTTATATTGCATTCCCTAATTATCTGAAGGTATTATCCATGAATTATGCCTTTAAAACGCATCGTAACCTAGTTATAAGTCAAAACAATCAATAAACCTTTAAACTATCGTCTGATTTAAATGATTTCACCCTTGAAGTCTGTACATAGGGTTATGCTTCGACTTCTAAACTCTTAAAATAGGTCAAGATTTATTCACAGCATAGTAAGTTGAGACTTTGCAGATAACAGTAAGATGCAGTTCAAAAAGTAGATTCCAATACAAGTAGTAAACCATTTAATAATGGAATTGAAATCTACAAACGCTTACAATGGGGATCAAGTAGAATGAGTAAATCAAGTAAAATCAACAAAGTACTGTATACAGTATAGTATTTTCCTTTTTCAGTCAGACCACAACAAGGATACAGTATTTATTTATACATAAAAGTACAATTTAGGAGGGGGCCTAAGACATACCAGGGAAAGGCGAAGGCCCAAAACCAAAAAAAAAAAGTTTTGTCTACTACAAGTAATTGGCTTAAGAGCCCAAAATCAGATGCAAAGGCCATCAGTCAAAATATTTTGCACTGAGATCCAGATCATGGTGTGAAGTGGGCAGGGACCAAATTATTGTTATCCATCTTTTCTTCTTCCCATTTTTAATGAGCTTGTACATAGATAACTTGAAATGATATCATGTCAAGTTAACACGACTTTTTATATATAACTTATTTTATGTTATTTCTCCCAAGGATGAAGAAAGATTGAAAATTTCATTTCGAGATTCACGTCTTGGAAAGTCAGTGTTAAAGCTGT